TTAGCTTTGTAATATAGTCCCATCGTCTAATTTTAGGAACTCTCTGACTTTCCCCAGTTCTTAGCTTTAGTCAAGTTTTCCTTGTGCTAATTACTTGTTTCCGGTAGATAAGGAGAAGCTATAGGTAGGTAACTGTGACTAGAAAGGTCTAAAACAATACTGTCAACAGATATGCAACACAAGCCATAATACAAACCACGTATGTAATTTTAAACTTTCTAGTAGCCACATGAAAAATTTAAAAAGATGGCAACTGATTTTAATATTTTACCTAACCCAAAATATGTAAATATTATTTCTTGTAATCAGTATTTTAAAATCAAGATTTTAATTATCTTCAAATTCCATCATGCGTTTAATATCTGCAGCACATCTCAATTATGACTATTCCTATTTTAAGTGCTCAATGGCTACATATGACTGAATAATGGCTGCCACACTATTCAGTGCAGGTCTAGATGTGGAGGTAAAGGGCGAGGAGAGAGGGAAGTAATGACAAATAAGGGCCAAGGTATCTCAATGAGTAATCTGACACACACACACACACACACACACACTCTCTCTCTCTCTCTCTCTCTCTCTCATATCCCCCTCTTCTTACCGCTCCCCCTCCCTCTCCCCACCCCTCTCTTTATGTGGTGGTGGTGGTAAAGAGGTCTGCCCTGTTACATGATGGGGATTTATATCAGAAAAAGTTAGTTTTTGAAATAAATTTCCATCTCTACTATGGGTAGCACCATCACCAACAACAAAAAAGGTAAAGGGCTTATGTAATGTTTCAAAATAAATGCATTAACAAGTATTTATTTTTATGAAAGCCACTGTCAAAAACGACTCACAAGTCAATTCGAACAGGTTCCTTGGGTCAAGACAATGTGAGCATCCATATAAGAATAAAAACTACAATGCAATAAACATAACAAATATTTAAATCCACAGGCTCACAATGACATTTTTTCAAAGCCCTCATTGGTCTACTTTTCCAGGATTCTAAGGAACAGCTCAGTACTTTTAAAATTAGTAAATAGAGGAAAGAATTAAGTCTTTAGTATGCCTTTTCTGTGCCAACTGTGCCACAGCATAACCAAATATCTGATGAGGGAAGCTTCTCCTTGTAGAAATATTACAGATAATAAATAAAAATTTGATACAGTTAGAATATCAACATCCTGCACACTCATGGAAATAACGGACCTAGGCAACAATCAGCAGTAGTCACTCAGTATCACAAGCAGAGATAACCAAATATTACACACTTCTTTATGGACTGACTTAGCACTAATACTCTGCCACCCTAGCCCCGCAAAGGAGAGCAAAATGAACCCTGAATTACATTAAGCCTTTAGATCTCAAAATTGATTTACCAAAAAATACAAGAATGATATTTTACTACGGGGATGCAATTAACAAAATACAGAATGAGAAAACCTTATAGACAAATAAAACAGAAAAAACAATAAGATGTAAAAGCAGATGCTGTATGTACCAAACAAATGTAAAGTATGGATTTTGTTGTGATCCTGTAAAAACACTATGAGCAGATGAGGAAAACAAACAAAATGGATATATGGTGATATTAAGAAATTATCATCATCTCATCACCTCACACCTATTAAGATGGCCACTACCCTAAAAAACAAAACAATCCGCAGAAAATAACAAGTATCGGCAAGCCTGTAGAGAAAGTAGAACCCTTGTGCACTATTGTTGTGAATATAAAATGATGCAGCCACTTTGGAAAACAGTGTCGAGGTGCCTAAAAAACAATTAAAACTAGAATTACGACCCAGCAATCTCACTTCTGGATATACATCCAAAAGAACTGAGAGCAGGATCTCAAATGTATATTTGCGTACTATGTTCATCGCAGCATTATTCACTATAGTCAAAGGTGGAAGCAACTCAAGTATCCATCAACAATGAATACAGACAATATGGTATAAGTATACAATGGAATATTATTCAGCCTTTAAAAACAGGGAAATCCAGTCACAAGCTTTAACATGTATGAGCTCAGAGAACATTTTGCTAAATAAATCAGTCACAAAAGACAAATACTGTATGATTCCACTTATATAAGGTTCTTTAGAGTAGTCAAACTCAGGGAAACAAAAAGTAAAATAGCTTTTGCTAATGGCTAGGGAGAGGGAGAAATGGGAGGTTTTGTTCAACGGGTATACAGTTTCAGTTTTCCAAAATGAAAAAGTTCTAGAGATCTGTAGTACAATAATGTAAATATAGTTAATACTACATGTAAGTGTACAAACCGTACACTTAAAATTGTTAAGATGGTAAATTTTATATTGTTTACTATAATTTTAACAGTAATATTAAGATTGCTTTTCAAATAAAAGATGAAATTATTGTCAATTCTTAAAGTGTGCTGATGATATTGTGGTATGTTTTAAAATAGTTCATACCTTCCATAGATGCATACTAAAATATTTGTGAATGAAATCATTTAATATAAGTATTGGCTCTAAAATAATCAAGTGTGGGGGTGTGGGATACATGGGAACAAGGTGGTTACATGAAACGAAACTGGTGACTACTGCAGCTGGGTGACAGATCATTGCGCTATTTTCTCTACTTTAGTGTATGCTCGAAATTTTTCACAGTAAAATGTTAAGATAATAATATACACCTGTTAGCCAATGGGTTCTATTAATGCAATGAGATAATTACAGAAAGGAGCTATGAAACATTTATATAGGAAAGTAGCTGTAAATCATTATGATTTAAGGTGCAATTAGAGTTCAAATAACCTGTACCTAGTCAAGTGAAGAATGAGGCAAATAAGAATATTATGAATCCCTCACAGTTATTATATCAAGAACAAAAGTTAAGGGCAAGGTGTGGGGGTGGCAGAAGTAAATGTTCCCACAAAGCATTCCTTTATGGCATTTCCAGGTGAGAAAAAAAATGTGAGATACTACATAGCAAGGGTATAACCCTGGACACTAATGTATTTCTCAGGTCCATAGGAAAACTACCATTTTGAACCAATATCTATAAATTTATAAGTTATTCATGCAAATGTGTAGAAATAGCTTCAATGTCCTCGGCTAGACTATAAGCAAGTTTGTTGTAATCTTATCCTTCATCTCTAACACACACATATATAGAACTAACACTAACATAAGCAAACATAAATTTCTGTGATCATGACTTAAAAATGACCTCAGGGATTTTCAACAAGGTAGGCAAATGTGTTTGAGATGCTCTGATTTAAAATACAGTCTACGAGCTGTTCCAAAAACAAAACAATAATCTGTGTGAGTGGCACATAAAAATTTCACTTGATAGGCACTTAGAAGAGACAGCTAGTTGCACAGCACCTACATCACCGATGGCCAAAGCCTGTGCAACTAATTCTCAGGGGAGACGTGTCACAAATAGCTAAGACTCCTACAATCTAGAAAACTAACAGGTTTCGAATGTGAACTTCAAACAAAAAGCCAAGGGCAGAGACTTCACAATGCCGAAGATGATTTACCATGGAGCTGCTTCTTACATGAGACATTGTGCAGTGTTCCAGAGGCAACAGCAGATTTGATGATGGTTTGTGAGTCACCCAAGCACCTCAAAGAACCCAGTGTTTCAGAAATTAATTAAGAATCATGCAATCCTTCGAGTTAGGTAAAGACAAAAACATTATTTTCCCCAACAGACTCCATTACTGGAGAGAGGTAGGAGTGAAAGAGGGAGAAAGCAAGGGAGGAGGGGGAAGAGGAGGAAAAGGAGAAAGGAGAGGGGGAGAAAGGAGAGGGGGAAAGACAGGTGGGAGGGAGAGGTCATTTTCCTCCCCAGTAAGAATTCAAAAGATAGTTTAGACAAAGATAATCCTTCTCTTATCAACATACTGACAAATCCATCTTTAAAATGAATCATTTCCTAGGAATATTTTCACAGGTAACTTATCTCACTCATTTATTCTAGTTCTAGTTAATTTTTAGTTTTTATTTCAGACTGATACATCTACCATTTCCCAACAAATTCCATAAATTTTAATCAGTTTCTTTAAGCTCCCTGACTTAATGTTTAAATCAAAACTTTGATTAAGTAAAAATAACTTAAAAGTCTTGATGATGCACTATAAAATATATTTTGAAAGAGAAAATATTAAGTAATTCTAAAAAAAAAAGTAAAAATTAATTCTCCTGCTATTTACTGATCCCCAAAGTACACAGCAATACCAGTTAGGTAAGGAATTACATTTTTTAAGGGAGAATCATTACGAATTCTAATTTACAGTGATGCGGTATCACTTAGCCTATAGCTAGAATAAACTTTAAAAAAGTAGTCCAATTCTATCATTTAATTTTACAAGAGTACTTGCCAAAAGTCATCCAGAACACATGCAGGAATGAGGGCAAACCCCGACTCCTACAGGATCCAGTGGCCTTTCTGCTGTATAATACAGCTGACAAATTTCTGTTCCACAGGAAAAAAGGCTTCTAAATGATCTCTTTAAATAGATAAAAATGGTTCTCCTGAAATTTTTTCACTAAAAATTTCAGTCATTTAACTCCCTATTAACTATAAATATCAGGACAAACGTAATATGCAAAAACAGACTATTATAGTGAGATGGACAAAAATGTAAGAGCTATCCATTACGGCCACTGTAACTTAGTTTAACAAGAAAATTCTATTCACAAAATATCGTCCACTTGTTAAAATACAGGATCATTACTACATAATACTACTTTTCATCCTGATAACCGTAACCAAGAGGTTATAAAATCTGAAGATAATAAAAATCTTCAAAATAAGGATTTGCCTTTTTACTTTTTTATACAAAATAAAAACTTACTTGAAGTACCTTAAATTACATGTTTTTTTTTTTAAAAAAAAAACATTTCTTCACTTTGGGAACACATATGTATTTTGTCAGATTGTTAGAAACTTTTAAAATACTTAATAGATTCTTAAAAGTAAGAGAATAAAAAAAAGAGCAATTAAAATACTGGAATGTTTGGAGTGGGAGGAAATCTTACCATTGGCAGTGCATTGATGTGGGGATGTACAACTGAATATCCGGTACCACCAATCACAAATTGCTGTTGCTGATGCTGAGAAAAAGGAAAGTAAAATATTCAGTGTGCCCTAAGACAAATTCAGTTTAAAAGATTTCTCACACCAAATTCTACATGGATGGAAAACTCTTCATTCCTGTCTTTAAGGTCTTCACCAGTAAATATCTTTCTCCCCGCAATCAACTGTTATCATAAACAGAAACTTTTGAGTGCATAACACATGACAGACACTGAGTCTTTATTACATTCCTAAAAGGTTGACACAATGAACAAAATGATACTCGAGAGGTGAATTTGCACAAATTGACCCACATTCAATCGACTCATGCAAATATTACTGTAATAGGACCCAATATAGTATGTTAATAATCTATGATCATGAACCATGAAGAACAGTTTTACACTTATATTCTATATATCGTTTAATAAAGAGAAATACATGATAGTTTTTGAAATCATTTCAATCAAAACTTACTTAACTTTTATGCCTTCAGAGTTTATATTTTTCAGATTTTACCCAGTCTTCTCAATTGCCAATTCACAGCACATTATTTTCCATGAAATTTTTCCACACATCCTATCAGAGTAGTGACTCTCAGGAGGAACAATGACCAGTGCAGGTTCCACCATGTGCTAGCACATAGGACAATTTTCTGGAACAGCACAAGCCAGTGCCACAGAAAGGGATGTAGAAGCTTTCTCTCATACACCTAACAGGTAAATTAAGTCAGGAAACACTAAAAAGATAACTAAGCAAATGCACTGAATAACTGCAGAAAGAATTTAATCCCTTGAAGTTTGCTCCCCTGTTTTATCTTTCAGTGACTGAAACTTCCATCTGTGCTGATTGCCAACTCCATGGCCATACTAGTAACTTTAGTGCTACTCTATAACTTTCAAGTAGATAAGCTATAAGGAGATCTAGGAATTAAAACAACATTTATTAAATATGTCACACACTACGTGAAAATTATAGATGGTTACATCAACATATAATATCCCACCAGCCTTTGGTGTTTCAAGACAAGGTGAATGAGCCTCAAAGCTTTTTGGTAGAAGGCACCTGTGAGCTAGTTGGTAGATCCTTTCTATGACCCACTGGGAAAATGTTCTGTAGATATTATGATGGCGTCCACACCAAAATCAGATTACAGCTAGGCTCTGTTGAGCTCAAGGTCATTTGTTATGAACATCGATTATTTCACTACAAAATTTTTGTGAATTTTTGAGCTGTAAGCTATAGCCGTAGGCTAAGTGATCTTATCAGTGTAAATTTTTGTTATCCAAAAATTGGCAAAGCACCCTATTAGAAAAAAGTGTTGGCACACATTCATTTTCTTTAGTTACAAATAATTAACATGTGCTGATGAATTATTTACTACTGTACATTGTAAAATACACAAAAGCAAAGTAAAAAAAGGATAAATTATTTACTTGTTTATAGTGCTGAAATACTGTTTAAAACATTCTAGATTCTTTTGACTGTCTTGATCATGATGATTTTATATCATTAACTAACATCTCAAGGCACAATTTACTCAGAATAAGGCTCATCAGTACTAACAGTGAATGTATGCCTATATGTTAAATGGCTTTCTTGATAGTCTAATTTTTTTCAGCCATCTTCTAAAACGATTAAATCATGGCAAGGGAAAAGCTCACTCTAGTAGTTTAATTGTCAGTTGTACCATTTTGTTTCCTATTCTTATTCATTTCTTACATTCAGTTTCTTTATAGGAATCTTTACATTAGTTTGTTTTTTTTTTTTTGGTGGAATTTGGTTAAAACCAGATAATCCATAAGTCTACATAATCGAACACAAGTAAACTTACGGTAATAAGCTCAAACACATGGCAATTCCCAGGAATGGAATGAATGAATGGGAATGCGACCCCCACTCTTCTGAAACCAGTACGTTATACATGACTCTGATATCACCGCTAAATGAGAATGTAAATTTGAACCTCTACATTAAATATAAATAACAGTAATTTTTTAAATCTAAAATGAACATAAAGTAATAGAGCACTGTATACCAATGGATACTTGTTTTCACTACTGGAACATGTACACACAAACTCACATCTATCTTTTGGAAAATATCATATTAGATCATTTCAGTTGATATTCTTTCTACTTTTTTCATCCTCTCCCTTGTTCTTTTCTTACTTTTCTGTGGTCAGGGAGTCTTTCTCTTATCAGTCTCATATGTCTCAAATCTTAGTTTTCTCTATCTTTTCTCTAACCTTGTTTTCTTCATTCAGTCATTTAACTTTACCTATTAAACTATAGGCCTTTAATGGAAAAATCTCAATAATAATTTGATATTTAGGTAGTTAAATAGTTGATTCTAGGATGTGAAATGCAAATAAATTTGGAAAATGATGTGTCAACAGGTATGCCCATTTGCACATACAATACAATATGGAAAACTGAGGGATTTCTAAAAACCATAAGCAGGCCTTTCTTCTGGATTCTGTATTAGATAGTTTTCTAGTCAGCTCATTTACCAATGCCCCTGCCATTGTGTAGTGCATTTATAAAGCATACCACACAATTCTTGACCTTATAAAATGAATGTGAATTGTAAAAGATATATCTTCTACAAAAGAATTACAAAAATCTAAGGTGTATTTAAGATAATCTGACAGATGTATATTAAAATTATTTGCACTAAAGTAATTCAAGTTGTCCAAAAAAAACAAAATCTGTGTCCTTTACATCTATCTGCCTTATAACCTCATTTGCTCAACATCCCCTACTCTCACCATAGCAGATGACCCTGAGATCAGGATTGAACTCAGGCAGAGTAGTAAGATCAAACATAGCTTCACCAACACTGGCTATGATCTTTCTATCTTTGTTAAGTGACTTAGGGAAAATTGATCCAAACATATATTATGATCTCAATTTTCTAAAAACAAGATATACTCAAGACCATAAACCTACATAAAAAACAATTTAAACATGGATTGATATCTAGTCATCCAATTATTATCTGAGTTAGTTTCATTGGTAGCATCATATGTGGTTGAATTCTGTATTAGGTTTATACAAAAAAAAAAAAAAAAAAAGGAATAAGACAAAAAAGCTATCAAGTATCTCAAAATGTGCCTGTCAGAGAGTAAGTAATGCAATTAAAGACAATAAAAACCACAAACTCTCTTATACTAAGCCATAGAGTTTTTAAAATTAAAGTTTGGTGTAGGCATTTTCAAGTGTTATTAAAAGTGAAATTTACTTTTTAGGCACTACCATCTACCCATCAAGTTTCCAGTTCACTAACTTTCTATGATAGAGAAGTGAACATTAGAAAAGGCTTAGACTCAAACTTTAGTTGTGATACTAGAATGGTCATATAAAAATGTATGACTAGACACGCATAGTTATCAGTTGCTTAAAAAAAAAAAAGTGGCACATCAACATGCGGAATTGTAACTAATTTCTTTTTCTCTTTCCAAAAAACTGTTACTAAATTAATTGTGCAACTTATGATGCCCTAGAAATATGACAGATATGACACTTTTCTTCTTAACACAATGCTGATAGCAGCTAAACTTTTTAAAGTAGTTTAGCGGGGAGAAATAAGTAGAAAGGTGATAAGGGGCAGTAGGATTAGCATAAGGATGTAAGAAATAATAAGATGAACAATAAAATCAAACTTTGCCTTCTCCGAATTTGCCTAAGACCACATAGGCAGTACCTGGGCACGTAACAAGTTAAAAGAAAAAACTGACATAATTCCTAGATCTTATTAAGATTCTCACTCTTCCCCAGGGCTTAATATTTTATTTAAGATACCAATAATTTGAATAGCTAATTAGGCTAGAATAACACAAAAATCATGCTACTGAACAATACACTCCCAGCAGAAATGAGAGCTCTGCCAGAGATGTTGGGTATTTGATTAACTCTGTCCTACAGAAAATTTCCAGATTCTAACCTAAATGTGACTCAAATTTAATTGATTTAGGGTAAAATCTGTAAGTCGGTAGCATTTTAAAGCTCACCCATGTGATTCCAGAAAGGGTTGAGAAGCAATGGACTATGTGGCACAAAAGGGCAGGAAGAGTTATTTTACTAGAGTCTAATTATTAATCTGCAGGGAGAAACCCAACGAGATCACTTCTTTTAAATATTAGCGTTGCAAAGTGAGTGTTTCTCAGAACTAGAGTGGGAAACATACTACACATCAAGTTAATTAAAAGTTTTATTAATTTGATTTTAAGATTAACAATAAGAAACAAAAGATAAACTCAATCCCTCTCCCAAAAACTGAATTTGAAAAGGAAAGACAATAACAATGAAGATATGTGAGACAGAAAGAGACCCAGAAAGACCACAAAACAGAACTACTAAAACAAAACACAAAAGGAGCACTGCTGATATCTACATTCAGGTAAAGAGACACATCAAGACCAAATGTGACTCAGTTACGTGTGACTTACTACTAGTAAGTAGAAGTTACAGAAAGATAATTTTTTCTGCTCATTATAATGGAGAACTGTTACACAAGTCAATGGAAATGGTCAAACAAAACCTAGATCTACCACTCAGCAAGAAAACTAGGATAGTGGGATATTGAGTTGTATGTGTGCCCTGTCTGATTCTTTACAACTCATCATACAAGGGTGCAATCATGACAGGGCCACAAGTGGCACTGATGGCACCTGTGTGCAAAGGACTCCAGTAGGACAAATTAAAAAAAGCGAAAGAAGCCATATTAGAGTACATGGAGTTCAGAGCCTAAATTGTGAGCCAAAGAGTTTGGACTTGACTCCAAGACCTGAGACAGTAGGCTAGAGGGGCTAAGACAAGGTAACTTAACCTCTCAGTGCCTCAGTTCTTTGATCTGTAAAATAAGTTGTTATGAGAGTTGAATAACTTAATATTTATAAGTGCAAAACAGTGCCTGACATAAGATTCAGATGTAATCATTTAAAAATAATATATAGAAATTATATAAAAAAATATATATATAAATGATAAGGAGCCCTTCCCTAAGATACAGTCCCATACCAGGGCAATAGCTTTGCTGACAA